AAGCTGAAACCTGAGACTGTTTATTTCTGTTATTTCTCACCTGTGATATCATCGCGTCCTCTGCTGCGCATGCAAGACCTTAAGTTGTGTGAATGCAGTTCACACAGGAGATCACATACAGGCCGCATTTATTTAGAAATGTGAAGAAGCACACAGAAGAGTGAAGCATTAAGGCCTGCAGTGTGAACGAAGCCTCAGAGACAGAAAAACTGATTCCTTTTAGGGAGGAAAATTGTGTGAAAGGAGGAACTTTGTCTGCACGGTTCTTTAGAAAGTGTTTCTGGATCCTGCAGAACGTCTGTGTCCTGATTCTATCCCCTGTCTGCAGCGCTGAGTCTGAGTTCTTCAGAGAAGCTGTTCCGGGTGACGGAGCTCTCCCCTCTGCTCTATTCCCTCCTGACGCTGAGTGTCGGCGGCACCCTGGCCTTCGGGTTGGGTTTCTCTGAGTTTCTGCTGGTCTCCAGAACCTCCAGCCTCACGTTGTCCATATCGGGCATCTTTAAGGTAGTTTCTAGCTCAGCGTCGGCTGCTGTGAGTTCTGTTGGGCTGTTCTGTCAGACCAGCATACACGTAGTCCAAACCCGTTCATCCCTCTAGCTTATTTTAAGAAAAACACACTTTAAACCACCTCAGCGGGTGTGAATCCCTTTAGTTATCTACAAAAAACTATTTAATTACTTATTTTTTGGTGTTTTTTGAAGCGTATGTCGGGTTGGAAATTATTCAGATTTTCTCGATTACGATTCCTTATCGATTCTGTGAAACGATTCGATTCCTTATCGATTCCTTATTGATTCTCTTATTGATTCTGTGAAAAGTGCTCGGTGACATTCATCTACCTTCTCCTGGGACTTTCTATCTCTGCCTGCCTCAGTGAAACCAGAAGGCAGTGAACGGGAGCTGCAGCCTCTGATCCAGCCAGGCTACCCGTCTCCTCACAGTCATCGAAATCTAGAAGGCATCCGTTTAATGGAAAAGCATTACTGTACAATTTCTGGAAATAAACTCATTAAACTCACAATAATCTTATCTCCCCCTGATTTAAATAAACGAGCGTCACATTTCTCTCGCTCCCTGAACTACGGAGCAACTTGGTAGCATGTTTAATGACCTCAAAGAGAGGAAGGGAACTGGTTTATTTCCAGGAATCTGATTTACTAGGAACCACATTAAGCTCAGCCAGTGATAGAAAACTAGCTTCTAACCACCAGAGTTTCCTTCCATGCTGGTCGTAACTTTAGCTTCTGTCTGGAAGCATCAAAAACACGGCATTGGTTAAAATCTATGCCATGTTGTGTTCGCAGGTGTTTCTGCATGTTGGATGTTTTTAGCACTTTACATCCAAGTTTTGATCGCTTCGCCCGATGGGACGCCATTTTCTTTGTTTTGCTTTTCTAGACTTACGCCTTGTCACGTCGTACTTGCTTACTGAATGCCGTGTGTGTAACTTGAATAAAAAATGTGACATAACTTACGTGGAAAAGTTGTGCCCAGCGCTAGGCTCTGCCGCTGCCTGGAACCGTTAAAAGAACCGCTAGGCGAGCTAACAAACTCCCATTCCCATACCAGCGTATGGCGATCTGACCTTAAATAGTTTTTTATACATGACTAAAGGGAAACACGCCCATTGAGGTAGTTTAAGTCTATTTTTCATACAGAACTAAAGGGATAAAAGCAAATCTGACGCTGATCTGACAGAACAGTGACTAACATGGTTTCTCCAGACTTGAGGAACCTAAATGTTGAAGCTCTTTCTGTCCCCTCTCTCTTGCCGTAGGAAGTGTGTACGCTGTTGTTGGCCGCGGCTGTGATGGGAGACAGGATGAGCGTGCTGAACTGGCTGGGATTCGTCGTGTGTCTATGTGGGATTTCTCTACACGTGGGACTCAAAACCTACTATTCCAGAAGTAAGTGAACCCTCCGTGCCTCTGGGGAGGGGGCGGGGCTTCCAATGCCTGTGACAGTGGAGCTGAAGCTAAAGCTAGCAGCCTTCACTGCCCCACAGACTCCTGGTTCCTGCTGCTGATTGGGTAAAAAACAGAAATATTCTTCCTGCTTGATCCGTTTAATGAGTCGACGGGAGCTAACGGCTAGCTCTGTTAGCTGACAGTCACATCCTGAAGCGTTCAAACATCCGGCAGCTTTTAGTTTTACGTCCCGACATGGAGCCGGGTTAGGTTACGTCCCGACATGGAGCCGGGTTAGGTTACGTCCCGACATGGAGCCGGGTTAGGTTACGTCCCGACGTGGAGCCGGGTTAGGTTACGTCCCGACATGGAGCCGGGTTAGGTTACGTCCCGACGTGGAGCCGGGGTAGGTTACGTCCCGACACGG